AGCTTTGTGCTTAATTACAAACTGTAATAAACTACTTGAACTTCCGCTTTGAAAGTCTATTTCAGAGTTTTGTGTACAAATATTATAGAACTAACAAAACATTTGCCACCCAAAATGGTGCCGACCAGTTGCTTTATCTCACGGAGTTTGTACGGCGACTCTACAACTGGTGATTGTTTAGTACTAGCACGGACGTAACCAGCTTAGTTTCGGTTGCTTCGGGCGAAAATAGCTTTCAAAAACCCGTGCATGAACATTTTATTCTTAATCTTAGTTGTTTCATTTTTGTAGGCTTCCATTGCAAAATTTTCCAGAGGTGCGAGAGTTTAACTTTCTTCACAATAGAAGATAATCACTCATATTTTGAAAAATAGAAAGAAACAACATGAAGAATTGTAGATACGTCCTAGAGTAACATGACGTTACACAAAACAACTTAGTTTCTTACCTAAGCTAATCAACTATGTTCTAGATAACAAACGCTCAAGTTTAAAGTCATCGCGTATCCTTACAACGCTAGAAACCGGGTTTAGATACCCGTAATGGATAGAGCACAGATAGCCCATTGTGTAGCTTTGTGCTTAATTACAAACAAACATCTCTTGCCGATATATTCCAAGTGCCTTGGGCTTTTCTTTTGGATCATTGGATGTACACTATTTAAGACCTAACGCCCTCTAGGGGCCTGCATCACCACTTATTTCAAATATAAATCTATTTTATTCCCGAGAAATTCTGTCATATTTATTTGGTGAGCTTCCCAAAGTTTGAACTGCTTAGTTAATATTAAATAACTAAAAGCTTTTTACACTATTAACTTAATTAAACACATCCTTTAAATGTTAGTTCAATGCTAGTAATTAGCACAGTTCTGTAGAACTGAATAAGTCCATATCGCTAATATTGGAAAAGTGTAACACAGATCGAGTAAGGAAACATAATGCCCACAGAAGGGGGTTTACGGGGAACAATTCCTCATAGAAATTTTTTTGTGGAGTGGAGAACTGACCAGAAAATGGGAAGAGAAAAATGTAAATAACTTATTTATATATATATATATGTATTAGCGATAGTTTTATATTACTTACTTTATAGAGGATTGTAGTTTTAGGAAAGTGGGTGCAATACTTCAATATTTTCTAAGACGTTGAATGTAATGCTATACTTATAATGTTACATGTTTATATAAGTACATAGATTTGGTCTTAAAATTCAGTTTTGATTTGGAGCCTTCCTGAAATACACACGCATTCCAATTATTCTAAATGACATTGGTAATTTAATCATTACAAATCTTAGACGAAGAAAACATTAAAAATTATAGTATTTTGGCACTTGTGTATAAAGTTAAAATCATAAATAATATTCAACGTTAAACTGGTAACGTCGAAACATGTAGAGTCGTCAACTTTTTGAAGGCCATAGATAGGCCTAAATAAAATGTT